TGTTACGTCCAGCCCGAAGTAAATATTTTTTTTGGAAAATGGATAGGCTAGGAAGACGCTCCAAATACTCTCTCGCAGGTGGGCGTGCTGAGGCGTCCCTACGAGTCGGACACACTGTGCAGAGCCACGAGTGCGAGTCAACGTCTTGAAAAAGACGCTATGACTTCGACTGCGTGACGTGCGTCCGTTGGTCCGTAATTTAGGCAAGAGAATTTAATCTCTTTTGGGGACAGGACCATGCGCGAATCTTGAGATAACGGGGAATGAAAGAGGGAGAAAATAATTAAAACGATAAATAATTTAAATTTTACATGTAATTAATAATTTTAAAAACGATTACAAGTTTAACTAACTACAAGATCCGTGTCATTATTTCTTGTGTTGAGGTACATTTATTGAAGATATATTTACATTTGATAAAATAAAAAAAGGTGTTACGTATGGAAATTCATATAATATAAATGTTCTAAAAATTGACGGATGTATTATTTAATTTCCGTGTACAAATTCGATTATATTTGTATGTTTGTCTACATTCTAATTATTCTTATCTTAGTAGTTTAGTATATTTAATCTATATTTGATATTTTTATTCTACGTTGTTAATCTATTTAAATCTATATTTAATTATCTATGTGTGGTTGTTTCGGAGAGGAGGTCGGATTTCTGATGGTGAGGTCTAGGGGAGGAAGGAAAGGAGTCCGGAGTTCGCAGAACTCGTCCAAGGATTTCTTGGTGCGGAAATCTGGATATTGGAAATTAGTGTCATGGCGCTCTGGGAAAAATGCGCTGAAATCTGAGGATGACCCAGATTCGGATGGTTTAATCGGGGAATAGGACGGAGGAGATATGCACAAATAATAAGGTCTCCTGCTGGAACAACTCGTGGTTTCTTCAGCATGTGTAAAAATCTCGGATGTCCTAGGCGAGGGATAGTTGGCTGATCCGTCTCGAAAAGAGAGGATGATGCAGATTTCACTAGAAGAAATGGATTTAGAATATGAAGGAAATGTCATTGGTCGTAAACCTTAAGGCTATCTCTGAAATATTTCAGGAAACCGAGAGATCCGACAGAGGAGAGAAATTAAGAAGGAAAAGAGAAAATTGTAAAAGGAGAGAGAAAAAAAGAATAGATTTCCCGAATTATTCGGTAGCCAGTGAACCTGCTGAGTGTTCCACAACGCATAGGGAGTCAGTGAGGTTCGACGGCCCAAGCAAAGAAAAAAAGAGAAAAGAAAAAAAAGGGAATAGAAGTGTAAGGAGAACGACAGAGGATAGAAAGGATGTAAGAGAGAAATGAGAAAATATAAGGAGAAGAGACCCAAAAACTATTATTAGAGAATTTTACTATGTGTAATTGAACTTACTGTTACTCTGAAATACCGGAGACTTGGGATCTGCGAGATGATGAAGGTGGAAGCGGTGTCGCCAGGAAACTTGGTCACTTGTACTTGGTGAAATTATTGATTTATTTCGACTAACACCGACTGATTGAATTACTGACAACTGACGGACTGAAACTTCTGACCGCGTGAAAAAGGAAATAAGCAGTGCGCGCTCCGTGCCTTTAAGGGCACTATATATATATATAATTTCGTTGAGGAAAACATCTGTACACATGTTGTTCTTCCGCAATTAGAATGATAGGAATTATCCGCTTAGCCAAATTCTAGTAATCGACTCTCGGAAGAGATTAGTTGCGTAACCGTCGCGATCTAACAGCGTAACAGAACATGTGTCATCCGTTTATCTGCTTAACTAAATTTTAATAACCGATATCCGAAAGAGAAGAATCGTGCAGTCGTCACGACGTAACACTACAATCGCTATATAAACGTAGTATATGATGCACACATAGGTGATGCAGGCATATGGGCTAACATTATAAACGTCGGTTTCGAACGGCAAATTTTTTTGAAGAAGTTTGTGGATAAGAACAATTCTCGTGGTTTGTCAGATCGTCGAGAGGAGACACGGGGTTTGTTTTTATTCCTATACTAGGGCTGCACTAGAACTGAACTAAACTGAACTAGTGCAAGTCAGGAGGTCGATCATGTAACTTTCCCTAGAGCAGAATGTGAAAAGTGAAAAGTTTCACGTGAACTTACGATCATATAC